AAGAAGCTACTAGGTTGGAGGCCATCCCTATTAGGTTTGAGGCCATTGCTACTAGTAGCAAGCTACTAGTTGGTCTTTTGTCGCTTTTGTTGCCGCCTCCTATGCTGGAATCTTTCCGAAAGGCCTCCTGGGACTCTGCAAGACGTGCACAACAATCTGCTGGGATGCCAGATGCCAGGCTGACGCTTAGGCTTGGCCTCAAGGAGTGTTGGATTGGTTTCCACAAATCAAGTTCTGCACATCAAATGTACTAAACCAAGTCGGATCTTCACTTAGCAGCAACTCACATGTAAGTGTGATTTTCTGTTCAGACGTGGCTTTGCTACTGGCTTGGGTATGCAATTGACAAGCCAGTCCAAACAAACGAAGCAATAACGTATAGAGTGAAGGACAGCAGCGTGAGTGCAAAATACATGAAAATACAACTCTCAGCCCTCAACACCGTGGGGCGCAAAAGCTCTGCGACTCGTCTCCTCAGGGGCTCCAATTCAGCCTCATCAGGAAGACGGACTCAGTCGGAGTCGCGCCTATCAGCGTCCCACCTTCAGGTCCTGTTCAGAGCGATGATCTAGAAGTCGAGCAGCATCCATGCTCATGCCTACGGTCCCAACACGGTCGCTCATTGGCTTCAGCACGAAACATTCGTTCGCTTGACACAGTGGCGATCCCAGCTTCACAGCTTCACGAATTGCATGGAAGTTGCAGCTCAGCACTTCGTATCCGCGATACTCCTGGAATATTGACGAGCATTGGGAAGACTCAACGCTAGAGCCGTTAGAGCGTCAGGGAACGAAGGATTCGTCGGCATCAGAAGCACGAGGCAACACGAATCCTTCGCCGGCAGATTCACGGCGGATCCCCAAAGACTCTGCTGTTCACACGGTTTCCGCTGTCTCAGACTAACTACTGGGAAGTCTGGTGGTGAAGGCTAAGAAACTTGTAGTTCCAAGGCAAGTAAGAGGACCAGCCTGTGCTACAAATCTGCTCGAAAGAATGATCACACAGCTTCACCTGAATTGCCTACGCTGAATTTGATCAGTTCCTTCTTCATGTAACTGTCTTCATCTCGAAAAATGCGCTGCTCAAATGCTGAAGAAAGGAGGCGGAGGAACTTCCAAAAATCAAAAACTGTTGCACCACATTGCCGCAGGAACATCAACTGACGGGGAAAGAAGTAGCCAAAGGGCAAGGCATTTGGACATCATTAAGAGGATAAGAGGTAAAAAGTGAGAGAAGAAAGAAAGAAACTAATTGTCCAGATATGTGAGGGTTGAAGCAGAACCCATCCTTCAGAAATTGAACAGCATATTCATCAACCGGGTCCGTCATGTACAGCACCTCGAAGCCATCTCGCTTCAAGCCCTGGGGCGGTTTAATGTCGGCTCATGCAGCTTTCTCTGTTTTTCGATTGGAGGCCATCGCTACTAAGTTGTAGGCCATGGCTATTAGGTTGGAGGCCATCGCTATCAGGTTGGAGGCCATCGCTAGTATGGCAACGACGGCGCCTCAATGTAGGGAGACCTGGCTGCATCGCGCTTCGTTCGTCCGGTGATGTAGAGGATGTGACGCTGGCCTGGACGAAGAGCTAACAATCTTATGAAAGGTGCTTTCAAGTGAGAAATTCTGCACCCTTTGCCTGGCTTCATTCGGCCAACGTACTCATCAAGACCAACAAGTTCCTAGAAATGTGTAAAATGGAAACAGCTGGAAGCAGTAAGACAAAGTGTGCAGCTTCATTTGGAAGCAAGCATTTCCCAGAGATTTCTATGATCATTGTTTTGAGGCCAAGAAACCTCCCCGGATTTTGAGGAGTGGTATCGAAGAAGTGGAATAATCTGCTCCCTGTTGGCATGATCCTCGCATCAGATGTGTCCGGTGCCACTTTTCTCCACGTTGGAAAAGTGCTCTGTTTCTCATGTTGTTCCTCGTAGACGCCCAGTTTCAGGCACTGTGAGAAGGCCTCTTGGAAGCTCTTGAATCGCTCTTTGTCCTCCAAATTGCATGCTCTATTTTATAAACAAGCTAGATTAAAGAAGGTTCGATCTGCAGGAGTTCAAGCTCAGAAAGGTGCCTTTGTTTTTGAGAAAGCTTTTTCTTTACATCCCACTCCTGGGAAAGTTCTTGAAACATGCTGAAGATGTTCTTCTGAAGACCCGTCTTGATGTGCTTCCTAAGCTTCCCAAGTTCTCATTTTCCTGCACAGCCTGTGTTTTCCTCAGGCAATTGCCAAAAGGCATGTTGGAGATCCCCAAAACAAACCCCCGAGAGGGATCGTCTTCAAAGATCCCAAGCCCCTAAATTGAACCGTGACTCAAGATAGCATTCTGCTGCAGCATCTCCTTGAGAAAACAATGCACAGGAAAAACACTTGGGCAAAACGCCAAGCGCTGCAGTCCAAACTCACCAATGCTGCCCAAAAAGCTCTGCTAATGTTCAGAGGCATGTCATCGCTGTCGACAATTCCTTTGATAAATCCCATCCATTTCGGGATCAGGTCATTGAACTCCTTGATGAAGACCCTGAAATCTCCAAAATCAAAACATTCTTTGGAGTGATCGTACAAGGCAACAGGTGAGATTTTTAACAGCGCCTGCGAACATAGAGCCGAATGCTAAATCGCTGCGACATTTTCCCCATATCGAACATGTCCTGAAACTACAGGTTCCAAAGCAAGCCGTGAGTCACTGGAGCAACTCCCAGCCTTTGGGGCATTTCTTGGGCAAAAGAGAAGTGCTTTGAAGTCGACCTTTGAAACACAGAGAACGTCCATGTCAGACCAACAAATGCTATTAGGTTGGATGCCATCGCTAGTAGGTTGCAGGCCATTGCTATTAGGTTGGAGGCCATTGCAGGATCTTAATTTCAATCCCTGCAGGTGTGCCTGGCCACCCTGGGTCACGTGCTTCACGCCCAAATGATCCTGACAGGCCATGTCGCAGCTCCAACGTTTTCCCAAGCTTTTCCCTGTGCCTCCCAGTCGCCAGATAGGAACTTGTAGAGGTCTGCGTATTCCTGCATCTTCATGTTCAAACCCTTCTTAGTAGGCGTACTCTAGGACGTCTTGGCAACTCGAACACCGACAATACCCCCTACATCTCCCTACTACTACTACTACTACTACTACTACTACTACTCGGGGAATGGACCTCAGAACACCTTAGGTACAAGAAACTACAAGAACACCTTTCAGCCAGCGCTCCTCATGAGATACACTCTCGGGAGGACGCAGCCACAAGGGTTTGTTCTTGTTCATGAGCTCCTTGAGTCACTGTGCAACTTCAGTCACTGTGCCTTGTGCAACATGAGCCCTTTTTCATCGAAATGAACTGGGGATTTGGCCCAGGAGTAGCTCACCGTCACCTCTGATTCACGAAGATTCAGCTTCTCTCAGATTCGGTGAAAAGTAGCTGAGCCGTCAGCCTTTCTCCTCTTCTCTGGTGCTCCGTCCTCCTCGACTTCAATTTCTTCTTCCTCAAAGCGATCAAGTCAGACCAGAACAGCCGGGCAAATCCAGTCCAATTCCATCCCCCGCCTTGCGGTGTTCCATTCGCAAGTCAATTGGAAAGCCAACAAACGCGGAGTGCTTCATGATGAGCTCCTCAATGAAACACTAAAAACAAAAACACTAAAACAAGCACTCAACAAAGTTCCTTCGATTCGTATACTACTGTACACTTTGCCTGCCTTGAGGCGATCACTCTCCAGAAACTCCGCCTGTGAGACACTCTGATCAAAGCAAGAACAAAAGCAATGGGCTTTTCAAAGAAAATACAGTAAATGCCAAAGGACTCGCTCAATCCTATCATACAAAATCTCTGAATATGTTCACGTCACCCGCGTACAAGACCTGGTCGTCTTTGAGATAGCAAATCACCTGCCAAGGTGAAACCTTTAACTTTTGAAGATCATGGTTTCTCAAGGACATGGTTTTTGTTTGGTGTCCTACGGTGTCCTCATTGTTCATTGGTTGATGTAGATTATATTGCATAACAAGTCCCTTCGTGATCCCATGTTTGGCGTTGTTCTTAGACCAATAGCAGGTACCGTTGGGATAGGTTTCGGATGGTTCGGGTTAGACATGTGTTTTTCACTTAAAAATTAAACAGAGGAACCCCTCCAACCAAGGGGCCCTCAAGTACTGCAACCAACAAGTGTGCTGTTCCTGGCCTTCACGCTAAAGGGTATCTGATGCTACTTTCGTTTCTTTGCAAGTTTTCTCTGTTGGATTTGCTGGGCCGAAGGCCGTGTCAGTCATGAGGCCGGACACAAGTGGCTGGGACCATCCACCGAGGCACTGGTCGCCAAGAGAATTTGATTTGTCTACGGTTGACGGACGAGGTCCTGCACCTTTTACACGACATAGTTGGTAGCTCATCCACACCTGACATACAGCAGCCCGGCACTCCTCAATCTTGTGTCATGCGGCAGGTGGCAGGTGCAGTTTCGGGATCGCAGGTTTAGATCTCGGATGCGACAAACTGAGGGAACGCCAGGGCTTGAGGTATCATCCTCACAAAAAGGGTACAGAATTTTTTCCGTCAACAGTGGCAGTCCGCATAACTAACTAACAATGCACAGATATAGTCTCTATATATATATATATTGTGTTTACTTTGAGTAAAGAAGCAAGGCAGTCGTAAATCTCATGTTTAAGTCATCGCCGGAACACTTCTATATATCCTTCAGGATGTTCTATAAAACGCCCTTCCTGATCTTTCATTGACTTGTAGTGACTTGTAGAAGGCTTCCCATGTCTTTCTCGCCGCTCCCGCCTTGGTTCCTCGCTTGAGAACTCCGTGCTCAAAGGTTGTGTCCTGCAACACGGCGATGTGAAGGCCAAAACCGTGATGTGGACCAGGTCCGACCGGTCCCCTTTCCATCTGTTTCAATCTGTCGCTGTCTGCCTGCCTTCCAAACCAGAAACGTACCTTCCAGGATTGACGTGAACTTCATGAACCAACAGAGCTTAAATGTCCAACCCGACATGCGAGCATCTTCCTAACATGGCTTGAAGCACTCGACAGTGACCAGATGCTATATAACATAGTATGAGTTTCAAGTTGCTGGTGCCTCCAGCGGTTGACTCCCAAATGTATTGCTCGTCATCGTTGCTTTTTGAGACGACGCGGACTTTCTCAGACACCAAGTACGAACCTACAGTAGAATGCAAGACAAAGTGCTCGGAGGTGCTCTATCAATGCACTAGGTTGGAGGCCATCGCTAGTAGGTTGGAGGACATCGCTATTAATTATTGGCCAGTGCTCAGAGGTGCTCTGTCAATGCACTAGTTTGTTTGAATTGGACTCGCTGGGCTTGAGTTGGAAACTGTAGAAGCCAACCCCGAACTGACCTCGCATGCAAAGGCTGCACAAGTATCACGCACGCTGTTTGTTCACTGGTATTGCAGATGATTGCATCGAAGCCACCAATCATTGACATGTCTGCTCCAGACGACACAGCCTGGTTTTGGAGGACGAGCTCACTTCATCAATGGGTCCATGCATGTTTACTCCAATAAGTCCGAACCTGCCTCCATGAATGCTTTGGTCCCAGACTTTGCAATAGTGCCCAAGTGCAGGATCATCTCCTTTTTGACAACGCACGCGAGCCATCTCTGAAGAAACAAAAAACAAAACTAACGGGTCCTCTCTGGTCATGCCAATCCCAGTGTCTTCTACAGTGACACTTCCAGTGTCTTTGTCAGGCGTTACCTCAAGCTTCATAAACCAGCTTGAAACACACCGTGCTTGTGCCGTGAACTCAGACAGCGGCTTTGATGCACAAGTTCGGCTCGGATTCCAACTTCGAAGGGTCTTGTGAAGCCTCTAGTCATGAGCAGCCATGAGAGCCAGAAGCGATTAAATAGTTGCGTTTCTAGAGGGTCGTCCTGGAATTGGATCTTGTCCAGCGCATCTGACGCGTTTGAAATCCTTGGGAATGCCACTTGCTGCTGTCCAATCAAATCAAGGCAAATCTGCTTCACCAAGGGGCAGCTCTCGCAGAAAGATCTCCTTGTTAGTGTAGAAGGCATTGATGATCAAGGACATCAACTGGCTGATGTCCTTACCGTGTAGGTTTGAGTACTATCAAAACATTATTGGAGCTCCGGGTATCCGACCGCATTGAAGGCCTCAGGAAAGTTTGTGAACGCAGGTCGCTAAAGGGCAGGGAAGTAAGGAAAGAGTGCACGGAGTGCGCGTACGCGTGGGCGTAGGCATGGAGGTGCATGGGTGTTGTGCGCGCGCGGCCAGGGTGCAAGGATCTTTGGATGATGTATTCTTATAGCAAGGGGGATCATGCATGTGCTGTGAGTGATAGTCCAGCGAAGCAGCCACAGTACATGCGGATATCAGATCACCCTGGCGTATATGATGACAATCTGTCCTTCAAACGGCTTTGAGTTTGAAATAAGAAACGGCGCTACAGCGCATTTAAACAATAGCCTTGAGAGATTGCGTCATTCTGCTCCTACTCTCCTCTTTCCCTTCCTCCATGCTCGAGACTTCGCGATCGAGACTTTGGGCATCGCCCTCGCAAGAACCCATCCTTTTTAAATGTTCCTTCCTCCTCATATATCTAGAACTACCTCACCCAGGCAGGTTCCCAGTAGATCTATTTTGAAACCTGAAGACTTCACGATGTACTTCACCCAGAACACATTACTATCATCAATGTCCATCCTTTCTCCAGTCTTTGCAAGTTAAATTGAGAGGACAGGCTTCCACCAGCAAATAGAATGCCAGACCCTTGGAGGGAAGCATCAGAATCCATGAAAACACAAATGTCGAACTGAAAAAGAGTGCAGTGAAAGTGATTGAGAAGCAAAAAGCACCTGCAAAAAATGCAAGAGTCACGATTCGCGATAAAAGAACATGAATAAAGAATGGAAAGTGCCGCTGTGTTCTCACAGACAGCTGAGGACTGCTCAGCTTTGTTACTCAAGGGTCCCTTAAATTCTAGGAACCAAATCATCAGTCCGATTGCGTCTTCGAGGAAGCGTGAGCTATCCTGTGTCCATACTAGTAGCTTAAGTAGCTAGGAGCAAACAAGTTTGTCCTTTACTTAATTTAACTATATATATAATATATTAATAGCTGCTAATCAGGTAGGCGGGCCAAAAGGAAAATGTATTTAAAAAAACAAACAACAAAAAGGCAAAGGCATTCCAATATTGCCCCAAGTTGCATAGGTCTCCAGCTCAGCCGGCGCCATGGATTCGTCTTGTGGCCCGTGATGGATACGAACAGCGAGAGGTTGGACACATTGATGTAGGGGGAGAAGATTGAAGACTGATTGAGATGCAAAGTCAATTGAGATGGAACATCTAGAGAATATCAAATTGGGAATAGCAGCATTTCAGTCACCATTTCATTTGTCTAGTCTGCCCACGTCATACATGCTCTAACAACTCGAAGACATGCGCGGCATCACTCAGTATTTCGGAGGCGAGTCCCGGTGAAAAGAAGAATGCCCCATAAGCTCCAGAACAACCGATGGAAGGAGTTATTGGCATCTTTTCACGATGCGCACCATTTTGGTGCTTCGTTGTACATTGCTCTGTTCGGCCAGATTCGCTACTTCACTCACTTTGAAAGCCAGTCACCACCTGAGGAACCAAAAAGAAAGCGAGAAAGCAACTCTTGCGGCGAGTTGAGAGTGGATAGGGCAAACCCATTGACCCATCTTTGGTTTTGTGCCATCTACAGTGAACTCACTGCGTGTTCCCTTTGACAATCACTACAACACTACTTTGTGCCCAAAAAAGGAATGGAAACGGTACACACAAAAAAGTGCAACAGTGCGAGCCTGGGAAGTGTTTCACCTCCTTTTCACGCCCATCCATCGGCTGATGGTACACAAAAGCCCTGGCACAAAACGGTGGCAAAACATCACGTGAACATGTTACAGTGTTGCAGCGTCCAACCTGCAGCGTCATCCGTTCACAGCCGTCGCACAGCTGTTCAGCTGTGACATGCAACTGCTTTTGACGGCTGGTTCTGCTGGGGAATTGTGGCTCTCCACTATTTCTGAAGTTCTGTGCAAGTGGAGTGGTCGCTTCTTACGCTGGTGAACTGACAGGTGTTTGCTTGTGGTAACATGGTACAGCTTTACAGCTTGCGCTTTACTGCTGTGCTGATTCAGTGGTAGCTTCTTCACGGTGGTATCGTAGCACTTGGTAGGCTCTTAGAGCTCGGTCAGGCACGTTGACACGTGCCGTTTCCACTGCGAACATGGAAAATGGTTTACTTTCACCTGCGGTGCAACTGTAGCAGGTGAAGCTCTACAGTGTGGCCAATGGTCAAATGGAACATGTGGGCTGATGGTGAAATGGTATGTGTTCACTGCTGGTAACATGATGGGCTTTCACTCTTAGCCAGGAGGCACCGTATTGCTTTTTTGGTAGGTTCTTACTGCTAGTTAGTCAAGCGCTTAGAATTTGCGAATGGTGAAGTAAAACGAGTTCGTAGGAATAGAATGGGGACTTGTCACTGCTGGTGAAGGGGCCAAGGATATCCTCCTGATTACTGTAAAGAACACCAATAAGATCGATTAAGTATGCTACTTACCGTATATGTTATACATAGAACATCTATGTGTTCAATAAACTCAAGTCGCTTTGTTGCAACTCAATTCATGTTACTTCTTCGACCTCACAAAGGTGAGAAGCTCTCCGAACAACACTGCAAGCTCTTGCTTCTACCTTGTAGCGATGCGCAATCGCACCAAGCTGAAAACGCTCTTTTCATTGAGGTAGGTAGTACCAACGAAACCCCACACTTCCAAAGCTGCACAGCAATAACTATAGCATCCGCCAGTGCAGCACTGAATCAATGGAGTTGGACTATGGACATGATGAACAAGTTCAACGGTAGCAACCCACTTTCCTGAGCACATGTTGAGTAACTGTCGTGCTGCTTGGTACTAGTATGTTGAAGACCAAAAGCCGCGCTAAGCAGGGCGTGTGGATGCAGCATCTGCGGCATTGCCCCCAGCCTCACTGTCACTGAAGCTGAGTCTCCATCTTTCGACGGATCACCTCAAGCCAAGCCAAATCTGCAGTGCACTACTCCGCTGAAACAAAAAGAACTCCGAATCCACATCAGACTGCCGCTCGATTTGCCAAGGATGTCCTTCAGCAAGTCTTTTTCTTTGACCATTTTCATCAGCCCGTCGACAGAAACCTTCAGCATATCTAATCTGAAATTGTGTGTTGAATTCTGAAGAAGTTGTGATTGAAGAATGCTGGCCCAGCTAACTGCAGGCTGGTGGCGGGTACATCAACCATCGCACGACCTGCAAACGCATCACCCGAAGCACGAGAAAAACAAATTCAACTTCAGCTTGTCTTTCAAGAATATGCCGGGCAAAGCTGTTCTGCAAGGCTTGACTCGTTCCAAATGGAGCAGGCTCAAAAGGATGTGTTCCCAGCAGCACTTCTATGGGCATGGATAAAACTCCAACACAATCTAACCGTTTCATGCTTGCTTCACATGACAACCACTGGGCTTTGACCCACCGCCACATGGTCAAGTTGGTTCACTGTCCAAAACAACACCAAATGCCGCCAGGTTAGTCCAATGTGTCTGCAAACCGGCGAAATCTTGGCCTCTGGCGATACAAACCATCATGCGGACTTTCAGGATCAAAGCCCTCGATTTGATCGCATCTCTGAATGGCTCTCCTCCGATAGTCCAGGGATAGTCCGGTGATAGTCCACTTGGGTTGGATACTTTGCCAAGGGGTCTAGTGTAACTGATGCAAGCTGATGCAACATTAACTGATGTGAAACGGTGCTATGATGTTGATCCCTCATGCAATGAGATTGTCAAAGCAAAATGACAACAAAGTGATGGGCGTGCCATGAATAATGAACCATTCTCGCTTGGTCCACCTTGCTAATGTCTGCGACCACATAAGAAGCGTACCTAGCAAAGCTGCAATGGATTCATGGACAGTGTGGACCTCCTCTGAAGGGCCGACCATGTAGCACGTCCTTGGCATCTCAAGACTAACGTTCCACAGGTGATAACATCCTCCGGGCCTCAGAGCTCTCAGTCTGAAGGGCAAACGGATATGTTGCACAATCCTGCGAGAAAATACGATTCTGCAAATTGACAATTCCAAGCAAACAATGGGGATTTTGTCAACTGGTATAAATCCACCTCTTGGTACAGCTTGAAGCCGGGCACCGATGCAGGAACCCATGCAGCACCTCGAAGGCTCGTCAGATGATGAAGAAACTGTGAATCAGAAACTAAACAAGTTGTCATTGTTGAACAAAGCATTATTTCCTCACAGTCGGAAGAATGTATCAAAATTGAAAGCATGAGCTGTTCAAAAGAGAACAGGATGTTTTGTGCATTCTTCTGCCTGGCCTGTTTTTGCAATCACTCCCCAAAAGTCACCCTTCTCACTGAAATCGCCACCTCATACAAACTAAAGTCATGCTCGAGTGATGCTCGATGGAATGCCGAAGACGAACGCGCCAAGTGAATCAGCTTCTCACGAAGAGTGCCATATGCGAATACAGCGCGGACATCCTCTCCAGACAGAATGATAAAATCAAGAACGACCTGGTTAAACAAAGCCTAGCCAAACCAAAGGACAAGAATAAGAAAGAGCTCCTCTGCCATTGCGGAGGTGGTGTCCACATGACTTGCACTAGGCGACATTGTAAAGCCAAGTCATGTCCTCCTTGCCTTGAAAGAAACTCGAACCATCTTAACAGCTTGCTATTGCTAGGAGGCCATAGCTACCAGGGTTGGAGGCCATCGCTAATAAAGTTGGAGGCCATAGCCATTAAGAGCTTGCTATTGCTAGCTGATTGACGAGCGTGTCCTAAAAGCGACACCGGGTGAATGAACCCGTGCTGAAGGTCTACAAGGTTCCGAGAGCAATCTGGAGACACCCCGTAGATAATCTGGATCTGGGAATGTGGTCTGCAAGGCTAATCTGTTCAAGGGATCCGAGACTAAGACTAATCTGGCCTGATATGAGTCTCACTGCATCGGCAAGCTGCAAAAGGCAAGAGCCAACACTGAGCCAGCTTTTTGTGGTTCAGGAAGTGTAAACTAACAATAGGACCAGAGGATGAGGGATTGGTGAAATGAATGTTAAAGAGGGTGGACAAAGGAGAAACAGCTACAGGGACCAAACTAATTGCGGGTGTCCTGCGGATCAAAGGCAAATGTGAAGAATAGGCCAGAAAGTTTTGTTGAAAAGCTGTTAGTCATGTAGAGCAAAAGTCAGATAGGAGGGGTCCATTCATCCTGTGCCACCAGTATTTGAATCTTGAGAGGCTTGAGCACATGTTACACTTCTCATCTCGCAATGCGAATGCCCAGTACAGCTCAATATGTTATGTTCGCTCCGTTTTTCTACCACATCTGGCCAAGTATCTGATGGTGCATAAACACAATGGACCCCTACTCGGAGCAGCGGATAGTCGAATCAAAATCATATGCTCTTGCATAGTATAGTGTCTCAGGGTACCTGCCTCAGCTGCTCTTGTGGTCCTTTCAACGCCAACAGTAGCTGAGTATCAAAAATATGGAAATCTATGCTGATCACTTAGTTTAATCAAGTAGGTAAGGGCGGGCTAAAAAGCAAAAGAAAAAGTAAAAAAGTGCTTTATATAGATGAAACTTGCACTTGGGAGTTGGACTATGGATGGCTCGGACTTCATCTTTCGCGTGAATCATCTTTCGACTTCTCAAGCGAGTAAGCGTCCTTTCGGTCTCCGGATCGGAGCGGTCTCCGGATCGGAGCCTCCGGGGACATGGACAAAGTGTTTCATTCATATGCCCACCTGCTGCACAGAAGTTTGTGCAGTCTGACACTGGAGCCGAAGCGTGTTAGTCGCTAGAACGTCAGCCAAGGTCCCCAGAAATGGAATCCAAGTCTGGGTCTGTCCACCAAGGCTGACAAATTTAGGATGGGAAGTCATCATCCCCAAAGACGAATTCGTCATCATCATCATCTTTGTCCTGCAGAAAATCACGGAGGCCATCCCTATTAGAAACAATGAAAAAGGAAAAAGGAAGAAAGGTGAGAAAGAAATCCTGACTCGATCCGAAGCTTCCGAAGGACTGGACTACTAGTAATTTGCAGGGGCATCGCTACTAGTAGCAAGGGCATTCCTACTAGCAGCAAGAAGCTACAGAAGCAGGGCCTTCAACTGTTCGATCTAGCCTTCGGCGAAAAGTAGATCGGAGAGCTGCGTCCTCCGGAAAGAGACCCTTCTTTCGCAAAAAGTTGTTTGCCTGCAGGGTAGCGACACATAGATGCAAAAACCTGGGGTGCTTGCTGTCTTCATTCATTTAGCCTCAACGATCATGGGCTCGCGAATCCTTACACAGTTTCACAGTCCCTTGTGCAATCTTGTGCAAACACTGACTCGGCTCGTCTAAGCTCCTGACTTCAAAGGAAACACACCCTGCAGAAGCGCAATGGCATTGAGGTACGATATGAGGTGCGATATGCGTGGCTCCAAAATGCTCGCAAATTAAAGCACTATGCCTTGTCCGCATTGGCCTGAACCTGGAAGCATGGACAGGTTGGTGCAGGACTCCCCAAGGAAAAACGGCAGAAGCTGAGTCTGTCGCTTTGCCAGTTGAAATGCTCGCGCTCTTAGTCAAGACCTCGAGTAGTAACGTCTCTTTCAAGCTGACAACATCCACAAGAAAAGTAGAAAACCGATGGCGTCAAATCGGGCGCGACGTCCTGTCAAAAGAAACTGGACAAAGAGGACATCACCTCGCCACCTTGGGTGGCCAGAACAGCGCTGAGCCATTCCTGCATCCAAACAGCACCGGATCCCGTATCGACACATGTTCCGGTGTTGCTACTAGTTTTTAGTAGTAAGGCCAGGGGGGCTCCTGGGAGTGTATCGACGTTTTCACAAGCGGAAATTAGCCACGTAGACCTGTCCTCACAGTTGAGCTCTTTGGCCTTTTCGTCGGGCACGTACCTACGCAGGATGTGAACCTCACCGACATGTGGAGTTCATCGTCGCATCAAAACCGCTCACGCAACGACGGCCAGATGCTCAACGCCGCAGGAGAAGACCATCTGCAGATTCGAAAGGCTTCAAGAAGGCTTCGTTCGCTCCCCAACATCACAAAGGACTTCAAGCTACTAGGAACAAGTACATCGCTACTAGTAACAAGTGCCTTACTAGTAGTAACAAGAAGCTAATGTATTCTAATAGCTTTTTTGTTACTACTAGTAAGGCACTTGTTACTACTAGCGAGGCACTTGTTACTACTAGCTTCTTTCACAAAGGAGTTGCCAAAAAGGCTCCGTACTTGCCTTGCCAATGTGGCCGGACCCACCTTTTCGCTCCTGGATGTTTGCAGGCAAACATGTGCTGTGCCTGCTGTGCACCCAGGAGAATTGAGTTTATGGTTATGGCAGTTATATATGATTATGTCATCAAAGGCACCCCTTGCACCATGTTTTCAAGATATGTTCTACTTGTTCTTCCAATTGAGGTAGATATATATATATTGCAAAAAGGTTCGAAAAAAAGGAAGAACTGACCATTGAACCTTTGATCATCACCTTCCACCTCGCGTCCAGTTCTCCTCCTCGTTGGGATCGCTTTTTGCATTCATCGCTTCGACGCACTTGACCAAAAGCTCGAGATCACCCTGACCGAGTCACAGAAGCATAGAAGCACATAGTCCCTGAAGATTCGCGTTGACACATCACACCGGTGGGCACACAGTGGGCAGCACGTCATCTTTTTGTGCCAATCTTTGCGGTGTTCTTTCATGCCAATCTTTCAAAAAGCGGAAAACCACCTCAGGATGATCCACGGAGGTGCAGAAAAACTGCAAGCCGCCCATGTCAGCAGCACCTCGGAAGCACCCAACTGCACCCAACAAGGTCCTCTGCCCCTGAATTCCCCTCAGATTGGTCGGAAGGAACGGAAAAAGCGGCACCTTCAATCTCCACTCCTCGCTTTCCTCCCTCTTTGATTACCTTCATAGAAATTACAGGAAATTACTCGGAGTGAACACCCGAACAAATGAAAGGCTGGTTCAGAGCTAGCCTTTTTCAGCTTGTCCTTCTTTTCCTTCTCAATCTCTTCAGGTGTTTTCTCTTTTTCTGCCGGGGCGTCTTCTTTCTTTGGCTCTTTCTCCTGCATGGTTCAGCACTCTAAGCACTACAGAACAGCCTTCATCAAGAATTCACTGAAGTAAACAATTGCATCGGGGGGGCCTTCTTCTTGTCTTTCTTTGAAGCTGCCTCGCCCTTTGGAGCAGCATCCTTCTTTGGAGCAGCATCCTTCTTTGGAGCAGCATCCTTCTTTGGAGCAGCATCCTTTTTCGGAGCAGCCTCCTTCTTCGGAGCAGCCTCCTTCTTTGCAGCAGGCTCCTTTTGTGCAGGGGCATCCTTCTTTTTGCTATCTTGCTTTCCGGCCTCGAGTGAAGGATACACAAGTCGAAAACAAGCAAGCTCAGCCCAGCCTGAGCTCCAGGGAGTTTAACCTCTCCGAGGACTTTCTTAAATTCTGGCTGGTTTACGCCTCGGATTTCGGGCCAGGTCAATCAATGTCCATCAGCTCTGGGCTGGAAGCTGAGGCAAACACAAAGCTGGAACCAGCGCAACAAGTTCTGGCAATCATTGCAGTGTTTAGTTGCGATGACAATTGAATATGATTCGATTTTGCAACATCAGAGCTGCACCGAGAAAGGCTTGAGGAACTTGTCGTCAAAGACCTTTCACGTGCTCTCATGCTGAAGCACCATTGCGCTTGATTGAAGTCATGCTGGAAGTAGTTTGTTGTAATGTGGACTATGGGTCCAGCAAGTTTCATAGCGTCAACCAAAGCGCAGCAAACCTTGGTCAGCTCTTGGAGCCAAGCAGCGAGAAAAGAAACTAGCCTTCTCTTAAGAAGCCAGCCGAAATGTCTGCCAGCGTCACACTGTTCCCAACCTTGACAAGCAAAGCAATCTCTGAAGTTTCGTCAACTCCAATTGAGGCCAAAAGAAACACCAGTTTTAAAAAGGGAATAGCAAGCGCAGGTCGTAGCATTTTGAAGACTTCGCGATTGAATTGTACGAGCAGAAAATCATGCCTTCAGCAAAAGTCTCTACCACAAAGATTGACAACAGCAACCATGGATGCAGAGTAGGTTGGTTGTTGGTTGTTGGCTGCGAGAGACTTCCCAAACAACCCTCTGTTGCGACTAGCTGAGTGTCTCCTGCACGAAAGTATGGATCTCTGCCACCAAGGGCAGGGTGCAGGTTGACCAAAAAGTTCCACTCACTTTGCTTGCGTCGCTGGGTCTAGGCAAGTGTCCTCATCGCTCAAAAACTTAGCCTTAGAATGGCTGAGGCTGTTAAAGCTTTAAAAGCCTTGGCTATACGGCTTGTTGAGATGAATTCCGACCATGAGGAAGCACCTGGAAGCACCAGTTCTTAGGTCATGATTCTCATACATAGGCTGGGTGTATACATATACATATACATATACATATTATATATATATATGTGTGTGTGTGTTTCCTTAAACATCAAGCCCAAAAAACCAACAGCAAAGCAGACACGCGGGCTTTGGCTGGTTGGTTTTGATTTATCTTGGGGTTCTTTCAGTAGAATGCAGGCTTGAGCCAAAATGGCATGGCATTTTGGCTAATGAAATGTATTAAGGAAACTCAACCTGCTTTCCACAGGCTCCGAG